GTGTGATATTACCAGAGAAAAAGCTATGTAAGATGCCTGCCCAATCTCTTTTTGAAAACATGCAGGGATGGAGCACCCATAATTTCTGGAGGCAAATTGTTCCACTAGTAGTTAATTCTTCTGTCAGGAAATTTCTCCTTAATTCTAGGCTGGATATCTCTTTGATAGATTTTCATCCATTTCTTCTAATCCTGTCATAGATTCTTTGGAGAACAGGTTGAATGCATCTTCTCTGTGACAGCCCCTCATGTATTGAAAGCCTCCTGATACATCATCCCTAGTCCTTCTCTTCATTAGACTAGACCTGCCCAGTTCCTGCAATTTCTCTCCATTTGTGTTAGCCTAGTTCCCTGATCATCTTTACTGTTCTCCTCTGCACTCTTTCTAGAGTTTCAACATCTTTTTTGTATCATGGTGACCAAAAGTAGTTGCAGTGTTCCAAATGTAGTCTTAGCAGTGCAGTACAAAGTGGAACTATTTCTTTATGTGATCTTGATACTACCCCTCTAGGACTGCATTAGCTCTTTTAGCAGCTGCAGCACACTGCTGGCTCATATTTAAGTAATTGTGTACCAGGACTCTTAGATCTCTCTCACGGTTACTGCTGTTGAGCAAAATACCACTTATTATATACTAGTGCAGTGGTTCCCAAAGTGGGCGGTACTGCCCCCTGGGGGGGTGGGATGCTTTAGGGGGGCATTAAGAGGCGGCAGGGAGGCGCTGGAGGTGAGCGGCAGGGCACAATTCAGGGTTGAGAAAAAATCCCACCGCTGCCGCATTCGAGGCAAGGCCCCGCAGGATCATCCCATTGACTTGCATGCTCTGGTGCAAGGAGCTCCGCCCCAAACATAGCGTTGGGAAAGGAGAACGCAGCATTGGGAAAGGAGAGCAAAGCCAAGAGTGGCTTTACTCTCCTTTTCAAACATCCCACCACTGTGTTTGGGGCGGTGGGCCGTCGCCCTGAACGCAGCGTTGGGAATAGGAGAGCAAAGCCAAGATTGGCTTTGCTGTCCTTTTCAAACATCCCGCTGCCGCCTATTTCCACCCCATTGTGCCCCTTGCACCAGAGGCACCTGCCCAAGCAAGTCCGAACAGAGCAGTGCACGAAGTCAATGGGGTGAGCCTGAGAGAGGGAGAGAGAAAAGAGAGAGAGAAAGAGAGAAGAGAAAGAGAAAAGGGGAAGAAAGAAAAAGGGACAAAGAAAGGGGGGGATGGAAGGAAGGGAAAGAAAAAGAAATAAAGAAGGAGGTAGGGAGGAGAAAGATAATGAGATAACTATTCTAGTCCAATCACCTGCTCCAGCAGGGTTAAAAGGGAGTGTGTGTGTGTGTGTTCTCCTTGTAATTTACCAGTACATTTTGGTTTTGCCTTCTTCAGAATTGGCACTGTCATACATTGGGAAAAAGTAATTTTTAGGGTGGAGATCTGGTCCAATGGATCCTGTTTAAAGCCTCAACAAAGTGTGAAAGCTTCCTGATAGTCTTGGGCATGTTTTGTCCACAAAACCTTTAATTAATAGAAGCCAAAGATGTTTCAATGTGCTGGCAAAGATGCTGGCAAAGATGTTTCAGTGTGGAAAAGGGCCTCTAAACCTGGCCTCATTTCAATCTGATGCATCATCTCTCTCTCTCTCCCTCTCTCCCCCTCCATCCCTCCATGCCCCCCTTTCTTTGTCCCTTTTTCTTTCTTTCCCTTTTTCTTCCTTTTCTTCCTTCTCTCTCTTTCTTTTCTCTCTCTCTCTTTCCCTCTCAGGCTCACCCCATTGATTTGGTGCACCACTCCGCTCAGACTTGCTTGGGCACGTCCCTCCAGTGCAGCGGGCTCAATGGGGTGGATCTGTGGGGCCGGCACCTAGAACGCGGCAGTGTCAGCGTATTTGAAAAGTAGAGCAAAGCCAGAGGTCGGTAATTTTTGCTGTAAAGAATCACAAAAGCTTCTGGGTTGTGCACAAGAAAGGACACACATGTCAATGCAATTCAGCAACATAAAATAAATACAAATAAAACAAATCAACAAGAATCAGCAAAGCATCTCTGATTAGATTTTATTCACTACTAGAATCTAATCAGAGATGCTTTGCCGATTCTAGTCCAATGACCTGCTCCAGCATGGTTGGAAGGGAGTGTGTGTGTGTGTGTGTGCATGGCTGTCAAAACTCCAAAAACAGGTCAAGTAGTTCTGGGGAGGCCAGTCATAAATTAGAACACTTGCTAAGCAACTGGCCATTAAGTGAGGACCACTTGTATTTGGTTTGCCAGTCACCAAACCACGCTCACCCAGTCACGTGACCAGAAAGCCACACCACCAGTCACGTGACCAGCAAACCACACCCTCAAATTAGGCCACGCCCACAGAAATTTGAATCCTGCCCCTGGGTGGGGGGCAGTGAGGAAGAGTTTGTAGCACCAAGGGGGCGGTGGACTGAAAAAGTTTGGGAACCATTGCTCTAATAGTTTACTGGTTTTCAGTCCATTTACCATATTTTCAGAAATTACCTTGTTTTCCTTTTTATTACACATATTGCAATTACATACTTTATATAAGGTTGTTAAGCCTGGATTCCCCAACGTTATGTTAAGGAAAACAAACTAAA